GAAAATAAAATCGTTTAAAATAAATCCATTTTCCTCAAATTATCTTATTTAAAATAGTATTTTCAACTGTTTGTCATCATAATACGCAGTGTAAATACACATTTAATTACATAATGTAAATTATTATTATAATTTTTTTATATATATTTCTCACTTTAAACCCAATGGCCCATGTTGCCGAGGGTATTATTAATAAAAAAAAAAAAATCATTATGCTAAAATATACTCACACATATGTGGCAAAATGCTAACATACATTTTTTCTTAATATAATAGCTAACATCTTATTTATTGCAAGTCATAGCAATTGTTCACGCATAAACTATTTTATTTTTCGTAAATTATTTTATTTTGATGCAATGTTTAAAATGTACAAGTGCGTACTACATTAGGTATCCTAAGAAAAATATATGATTTACTTAGTTAGGTAAACAATTAATTTTGTTTGTTATATTTCGATTTTCTTAAAAATAGTTAATATTTAATATGAATTTAAAATTTTAAAGTTCATTAAATAGTGAAGTTGGTATTTTATCAATAATATACCGATAATTAAAAAATAAACCTAATGAGTATATAAAATATGAACAATTATAATAAATTACTGAAATCATTTTCATACAACAAAATATTACTAATGGTCTTTGCTGTCGATGTTATTTTTTTGAAATCAATAAAAAAAGAAATTATTATATTTTAATTAATTAGCGTATCAGTGTTTAGACCAAAAAAACGTTGAAAGTTTCGATTAATTAATGAATATATTATTATATTCGTATAGATATTTTTGAGTTTAAATTGTTATATATTTTTTTTATTAGATGATTAAATATAAATTATTTATTTTTTTTATACTCAATACAAAACCTCTTTGAATGCCGACTGGAAATCCCATTTTTATTTTATTTAGCGAACCAAATCATAACAAATTGTTCAATTTTTTTTTCAGATGTAAAACACGTTTATTCAAAACCTATTTTTTAAATTTAATTTCCTTTGTATATCCATGTAAAATAGCATATAAATCTAATATGAACCCCAGTTAAAGGTTAAGATTATTAAAAAATAAATAAATAAACTCAATATAATTTAATGTTACCTATGTTATTTTGATAGTTATTATTTTCATAAATATTATTAAGCTTTCAGTATTTTGAACTTGATTAATCACTAAGATTTAAATTTAATGACATTGTATATGTGTTCCCATTATTTCATTTAAGACCATAAAATCCCTTAAATCTATTCTACTCTATTATCCTTCTCTTGGATTAACTTTATATAATGAACAACTTAACACGTAAGACACAATAACAGAACGGCTCGACAGCGATAACTATGTGAATTCATAAAAATAATGAGATACGCGACACTAGAAAAATTGTGCACGTTATTACACTGGTTATTTATGCTCTAACTAAATTTTAATTAAACTATTTTTTCCATCTTTGAGATTAATTCTCTTACGTTTTGTAATAAATAAAAGAATTGTACTATTTTTTATTAAAAGTAAACTCCATGTGGAGGCCATCATAGATAATTTATCAATGTACAACAAATTAAAATGCTCACATACCTTACAGAATTTATGTGTACCTCGTAAGCTGTATCTAGTATCTTGTACATTATAGTAGTTACCATGATTTATTTTATATCTTGTAACTAAACGGTCAAAACGAAAATATCATTTCTAGATCATCGTTTCTTATGTAATTAATAAACAAAATAGAGCTGAATGTTAATTAAATTCAATAAAATTATGTTTAGGTTTGGTAAATAAAGTTATTATATATGCATTTATTTTATTGACAAGCCATGTATTAGATACAACATACGATATTGAGTTTACTTATCTTGGAATAATAAATTTGTTATCAGCTACGTTCAGCATATAAAATTTAATTTTACCAAGCTTAGATTAAGATTTTAGAATGTGATTAATTAAGTCAGAAGGGAAAAATGCGAGCGGGTGAACAGTTTAAAATATCAAACGAGCACATAAATTATTTGATGAGCTTATTTATATTTTATACAAATTATTTTCAAGTGTAATTATTGTTTTATTACTGTGTTATTTAATAGGTTCACATAAACATAAAATAACTGCCTTTTAAAATGTAATGATGCAATACATTGTATGCTGTAGTACCTATGCCTAATATTTTACTGTAGATTTTTTTTTTACGAATTCTTTTATACCATAAATGTTTTTTTTATTAATTAATTCAATGACATAAACCTAATGAATTTAGTTGATTTATACTAAATTACCTATTTCGTAAAAAAGCAGTATTTCAAACGACTTAAAAAATACAATTTTCTATAATATATATATACGTGTTATGTACATTTAAGTTTTCACTCGTATATTTTCTGTGTGTATAATTACACTCAGAAATGAAAACCATTTACGACGTGCGATGAATTTTCATTACAATATATTCCTCGTACTTCTCTGTTTTATTTTAAAAAAATCGGTGTGGGAAAAAACTCGCATAAAGTGTATTATAATGTTTTACAAAAATCTAGACGAGATACCAAAAACAGTAATAATTATTCGACCTAGGTCCGCTACTCCATGGAACAGACTCAAAGCTCAAAGCCAGTGACTCGCGTAATTTATACACTCGTGTATGGGATTGAATGCTTTGGATCGCATCAGTAAGTTTTCATCTCGCGTATATGCGTCGGAGAAACGCAAAAGTCACCGAAACCACGTGATGGTTGCACATATTAAACACGCTTGACCAATATATAAAGTACAACGTTTATACTGTTTTACTTGCAATTTAACTCAGTTTCGAATCTCCACTAACAGACGCAGTAATATTATATTGTAACGGTTACATTGAGCTGAAATTTTATTTTATTTCCTTACGCTTTTATTGTATCGTAATTTTTTTTCGTACATGTTACAAGTGGCGTATTTGGGATAACTTTTCAGGGGAAGGATCAAAATATAAATATTTTTCACTGTTACGATATAAGACAATTCAATTACAATAGTTGATTTTTTATTTGGTTAGAGTTTTTAAAAGTGGTTCAAACTTGTAATTTTGTATTAATAATCAACTCATGATCACGGAATTTAACTTATAATTACAGCTCCCACTAAACATTAAAAAAAATATAAGTATATGGGGGAATGCCCCTGTTGTCCCTATCAAATACGCCACAGACATGTTATTATATTATATAATTAATAGAATAATTTTTTTTTTTACCTACCTCCTTTCACTTTTTTTAAGACCGTATCATTTATCTATATAGAAAACGAATCTTACATTTCCATATTATTATTAGTTGTTTTATTTCGATCGATAAATTGTCTAATGAAGTATAACAATTTGAAAGAAATTACTCAGGTGAAATATTGTAATATTTAATATTAAAATATGATTAATAATTGTGTATAAACTCCCTTATTTATAGTTTGTTCACGAGCGGCTTAGTTTTGAAATAGATTAATATTAATTATAACTTTAAAATTAAGTTCATTGTATGAATATATTATGAATATATATATTTTACGTGCTCGTAGATTTTGAGAAGTTTGTTGATATAATGACGACTATAGCTGGTGATTGGTGTCAAGGAAACGCATCAGCCATTAGGTCCTCCTTTGTATAAGGTCGGTGGACTGAAAGAATTGTACGTAAGATCGTCCCAACTACCAAAAGTTAAGGGATCTTGACCATTGAAATATATGTATTTTTAATTTATCAATATGATATAAATATAAATTGTACAAGTCAAATCGAATAACTGAAATGTTACTGATTAGTAATTATACATATTTGGTAAACATAATGATATAACATTATGCTATTATCGATAGCAATATCGATTAATGGCAATTAAATAATACAAATTAATAAACCTATGCTTATTCAATCGTACTTACACTCGACATTTACTACACATTAAAAATTAAAATCTTGCGAAACTGGTCGTTTGATAAAAAGTGATTTTGTTTATATTTTACCGTAGATCCATTGTGATGGAAATATGAATTACGGGTTTTTGTATTTCTATTGATAAGACATATTTTTAAAATTTTTTTTTTATCAATTATCCCGCGGCAACTTAGGCCATTGGGAAGGGGGTGGTACTGTAGGTTTATGGAACGGTAAGGTGCGTTACACGTGGGTGAGTTTTGGCAGAATTTTTATTGGGGCACCCGTAGGTTTCTGCCATGCCCCAGAGTGGGGGATGGCGGCACTTGTTCCCCGGACACCGTGACTTGCCCGGAGAAAAATGTCGCCCGATGGTCGAGGATCGAACCCGGTCCGACTGAGCCATAGCCGACGCGTTAGACCGCTCGGCCACCTCGGCCACCATATTGATATTCTTTTTAAAACTTGTGTGATGGTAGGTAATTTAAAGTTTTGTATGGCAACATATTTATTATTTTTGTTCATTAAAATGTGTATTATTAATAACAAGTATTTTCGTCAACGCAGTATTGAGGTTATTATTTCAAGTCAAACTTGTTGTAAAACAGTATATAAATAGTGGTTTATTTTTAGGAAAATGACTACCATTGGTCTAAAATGTATATTTTTTTTTACAAAATTAAAACAGGTACTCGTGCACTTTGTTTGTAGAAATTCAATTCCGTTATCGATAGCTGTTCTTATCTCAATGTTACGAAATGTTGATCTTAGTTTAATTTTTATAAATAATTTTGCTATCTATAAAATAACCTATTATTCGTTTAATTCGTATAGAACTAATGATAGATAAAAAAAAAATAAAGAGTACATTAACAGATAACGTCAAAACAAATATATAACACGACAGAATAAATTTAAAAAAATTATAGGTAACGAAATAATGAAATACGCGTTTGGTGTATAAATTATATTATGACGTCATGCAGTGTTATTGAAATATATTAAAATATTCATAGCGCAATTAGTGGGAAATCATGATATTATGTACTTTAATAATAAATGGACGATTCGATAATCAACTGAAAAGTGTCGATTAAACAATCGGATGCGATGGGAAACCAAGACTGTATTGGTGTGCTCGTGCTCGTCCTTGGTTTCACTGCCGAATCGCCGGCTAGAAAAAAACGTTTGCAGTAGGTAGTCTATACTCTGTAGCACTATGTAATTAGTTCTATTCCCGCGGCATCATTAAGACTACGTGGCTCGTCGACTGGCATCCGCGTACGACGATATAATTAACTGATATTAAAATAATTAACGGGCCCGTAGGTAATAACTCGTCCGAATGTCGGYGCATGTCTGTTATATAGGCGTTTATATATTATCATAACTCACTATATATTACTCACTCGATTCATTTTCCTCGTTTGATTCTCAGCTCGCAACTCGAATTCTGATTCGCTTCGAAAAACGGTATAGCACGKGGAGAACGGTCGTCGACTCGTATAATATTACCGACGCATATGTTCAGTGGGCCCGACTCATTGTCCGTTCGATTTCAGAGTGCCGTTGCGACTGTTGCAGCGACGACACGAACCCGACAAAGTCAACTTAGGCCCACCCGTTCCGCGTACCCACACACACACACACACACACTGCCGCACCGCACCGTCGGGCGTCTTATACACGTCGCGGTGTGGCCACCAACGGGTGACGATGACGACGATGACTACGGCGTGCGCGGCCGCGGTCGCTGAAATTATCGAGGCCGGAGCGTTCGGACCGGACGGCCGGTTCGTGTCATTCACGCTGGACGGCCGGCACACCGAGCAGGATCAGTTCGCGTCGTCCATACTGTACGGGACGGTCACTGTCGCGGATYGTGACTGCCGTCACCAAAGCCATCGACTCGTGTTCAAGTTCAAACACTCGGTTCCCGAGATCCGGGCACTCATCAAGAACGACGAGCAGTTCCACAACGAAATACTATTCTACGAACGGATCGCACCGTTCCTGTTGGCCCGCTGCTCGCTGGGGGACACTGCAGATGAACCCGCGACGCCAACGCTCTGTCGTTACTTCTACGGGTGCAACGACTGCGATGACTTGGTGCAGCGGGATGTGATCGTCTTGGAAAACGAGTCTGTCCGTGGATACCGGTCGGCGAACACCGAACATAGGGTGTGTTTGGACTTCGATCATCTGGCCGTGGCACTCAGAGCTCTAGCAAAGTGAGTGGGACGTATTTCCGTGTTAAATTCCATGTGGGGGGGGAGGGGGTGTCTGAGAATTGTTTCGTGCGGATTTATTTTGATTCATAAGCGTTTATAATATTTAGATAGCTATAGTCGTCGAGCAAAAATAATTGTGGGGTATCAAACATAGCCTATATAGCAGCGGCCTCTTGCGTAATTTTGTATCTGAATTCACACGTTTAAGGYACACACACCATTATAGCTAGGTCGCTACATTCAAAATATCAAAATGAAAAAAAATCCATTGACCTAAGCTAACAATAACAAAAGGATTATTTTTATAAATTCGGAGTAAATCTACTGTCATCTATAAATTCATAAATACGCGTCTTTGTGATGTAATTTAGATCGATAACAACAGTTTCCATATTTTTGTGTTGTGATAACAGGTATCACAGTTTGTCGTACAGAGCCAAACATCTGGATCGAGTCGAGTTCATGGATTTGGTGTCCAAGGTGAAAGACTTGCAATGGGACGACAACGGCGAGTGGTTTCCAATAGGCAGACAACTTGGAGAGCTGTTCTCCTTGGCTCTGGAAGCGCTGAGAGCACGTCGCGGTAATGATGGTAAAGACGAACAACGCGCGCAMAGGTTTCGCACGGAACTGCTGGCCGATTCGACAAACACGATGAGACGTATGGTGGAACCAGTCGAACCGCTGTCGGTCCTGTGCCACGGTGACTTCAATCGGAACAACCTGCTTTACCGGTACGACGACGGCGGACGGCCGGTGGACGCGCTGGCGTTCGACATGGCCGCCGTCCGGTACGGGTCACCGGCGCTCGACCTGTCCTTTTTTTTGTACATGAACATGGACCGCCAGTCCCGGGACGATCACTGGGACGCACTGTTGGATGTATACTGCGAAACGCTGGCCGCTGCCGCCGGTGACGTTCCGGTGCCGGATCGTGGCCAGATTGATGTCGAAATGCGCGAGCACGCGTTCTACGGGTTGGTACACGCGTCGTTTTTCTTGCGGATAATGTTAGAGGAACAGAAACCATTCAATCAATTGGATATCATCGGAAAAAATAAAGATCAGCTGCTTAAGATTATATTGTCGTTTGGCGGAGAACGGGCCACCGAATGGGTAGCGGACACCGTCCAACACTATATGGACATGGTGTATGGCAAAACATGATCCTGATCCTTAATCGTCATTGTATTTTGATTATATTATGACATTTTTTGTATTGATAGAATCGTAACCGGGACAAACACTTGTGATAARCCGTATGATTTTTTCAATATTAAAACGAAAAAAAACATTGAGTTTTATTTTKTATGATACTATATATTTGCTGTATCATATTACTTTAATATGTGAACATTGTAATTAAGTAGGTAGTACATAATATAATTGTATAACATAATATGACCATCATATTTTTAATCTGCACTCCTATTATAGTTGTATAGACAATGACTGAGATTATTTCCATTGAAACGGTTCACATGAAATTCGGTCATACCTAATCATTATAGTAGGTACYTTGTATTTATATAATTAACTATGAGTGTATATGAAGAAATTTGTAACCGCATTCATTTTGGTTCAATTTATTTTTGAAAAWTTAGCTTAATACGTATCTAACATCAGTGGATTTATATGACTTTAAATTATAACGTCCATACGTTAATTTTTACATASTAAAAAAATTGAAATTGAAATGTCTATAAAAAAAATTGTRCATATTCTATATTTTCGATGTATTTAAATTATATATTTGGTTGCAAAACTTATGAAAAACGCACTAGCTTATTACATTGTATAAATGATCATCACTCTGATTGTRTTGTTAAAATTTGAATGCGTTATGCTATAATATTGTGTAACAAACAATCAATAGGCCGTGACGCCCGGTCACGTAATGCTTCGTATAAGTTTTATATACTCACACACCGACCGAACTGTGTAAAAAAGTGTACGTGTTATAGCGACTCTAAGGAAGTGGACGGGATCGCCGAGCAAGACCAGAGAGGCTAGTGCGTGGTGGATGTGTGAATATGTATTTGTGTGGTGTGTAGACTTAAACTAAAATAAACGGTAACACGGTTGCTGGTAAAAATGAGTTGCTGTATAGTTTATGTACACAAAATAAATAACTATTCACGGACACAAAAAAATATATAAATCACAGCAACATAAAGTATRAAAAAATATGTATAGTAATATTATGGCCCTTCTGCAGGCCAAACAGGTAAATATAATAATATGATTGTAGGTAACAAGATATGCCTAATAATAATAATGCAACAACTCACAGATATGACGGTGCTCGGCTGGCCAGCTGCTACCTATCCTATATTGATAATAATAATAATACTAACACACGATAGGTACACAGTACACACACTGTATTAAAATAATAATAAGAAAATAATATACACTGGCGATTCGCGCCTTACAATAAATAATAATAAAAAGGATGGGCCGCACAATATAATAAAAGTGTCGATTCACGACTTACAAATAARTATATAATATTTTTGCGCACGCCGGTACCGCTTGGACAACTTATGATACAATAGGTACTATACCATGGCGGCCGTGTTAATATAGTCAGCACGGGCGAGCCGATGGCAGTCGATAAAGCGTCAACATAATCTACATAATATTATGTAATAATTCACAACGACAAAATAATTAATACAAAAATAAACAATATAAAAATAACGAAGATGTGCTGTACCTGTGTGTCAGTCGGCGGCGATATATAGCGCATAGTGGCTATGCCATTTATGTATGTAAATTATAAATAATAATAATAATAACAATTGTCATGTCGATGGCGGTGACAAATCAGTTAATAAAATTAAAATATTTATAGAATATATTATATTCTACCACCACGCCATGGTACACGCTAGGTGAT